TTTATTTTAATCTCAATGAAATTCAGGATAAGTATAAAAATGTTTATACATATAATATTGATATCTGGCATCACAATGAAGAAAACTCGATGTGTTGGGTTTTATTAGATCTTTCGAAATATGGACGTATAAATTTTTTTTTGAGAAAGGGAAATTTTATTAATTCTGTTATCACACAAACAGCAATTTTTGCAGCGAATATAAACGCACATGTTATTTTACAATTACAATTATTTATGTTCAATAGCGAAAATTTATAGTTAACATAAAATCCCATTCGAAAATTGCATATGGTAGCCACTTAATAATATTTGACAAGAATTATTTGAATAAATGAACGTAAAATGACGTTGCACTTGACGTTGCGAATCGGCTATCTGCGTCAATATATCGAGTTTACGACGCACTAGGCAAATGAGCAACCCTTTCAGGTGACAGGATATGGTTCATTCGTACATTATATCCGATGATATGACACGATGATAATTAATTGCTCGAGATATTGCATCTACTCAATTTAAACAAACACATCAATGTACTTTTTTTAACACGCGCATAAAAATATTATATAATATTATATCTGGCGTCAGAATAAAAAACTCGTTTTATTAGATCCTTCAAATTGTGAATGCAAAATTTTTTGGGAGAGAAAGCAGTTTTATCACGTAAATAACAATTTTTTATGTTATATATAAATATAATAAATTTTTTTTTTAATATTTTAAAACGTTTCCTTCTTATTTTTTTAACAGGAAAAATATTAAGTTTTATAAATATAACTTTTATTTTTTATCTTAAAGAAGATATAATATAAGATAATATAAAATACAAAGTAAAAATAAAATATGTAAATCTTTAATATTGTTATTGTTATTACATAAGTAAAATTATTATTATTGTTTTTGTCTGTGAATAAAATTTTGATCGAGGATATTGCCTTTATTTGATCGAATGGAATACTCATTAATATACTCAGTGCATATTCTATTTTTTAGCTCAAATTTTACTAAATCTTTTTTTTATATATTGGACTGAATTATCAAAGCTATAATGGAAATTCCGTGAATTACATGGTCCTAACGAGAAGAAAAAATATTTTATGTGATAACAAAAAATTTATTTAGAGTCAAAAGTAAAGTTATATTTTTTATAATTAAAACTGAAAAAATGAATAAAAAATCTTTATCGTTTTTTAATACACATCTTATCTTGTTAATTTCCATATCGCAACACATTTGAAAAAGTATACTACAGCAAGACAAAATAAGTAATTACATATATTGCACGTAATATTTAAATTTTTAATTAATATTTAAACTAATATACTATGCGCATTGTATATTGGAAAGGTATTTTTTATAATTAAAACTGAAAAAATGAATAAAAAATTTTAGACTTGAATTTCCAAATCCCCCTGATACTCCTATGTTTCAACTATTTCTCCTTTATTGCAATTTCCAAGATACATGCATATATTCTACCTTTATATCCTTCATTCTGTTTCATAAAAGCGACGTGTATAATGAAAGCCCTCTAGGCGTTTAGTTAATTCAATTTCAAGCGATGTTGCAAATTAATGTTTAACAGTCAGTGCAAATGACATGTGTATAAATTCGATAATGAATTTATGTCTCTTGAGAGAGAGAGAAAGAAGTTTCGAAAAATTTTAATTTTTAATGTGTGTTTTTTTATCATAAAATAATCAATTTAAATCGTAGGATCTCTGCAACAAAATGGGTGATACAGTAAACGTCAGTTCGGAAGTCTACGGCAAAACGTTGAAGACGAATCAAATATTTAGTGCGGGTTCTAAGATTTCTAAGAGAAATGGCGTAACTGGTAAAAAAATCCTGCCATACCTGATGCGTCAGAAGAAGGATAAGATGAAAGAAATGGAAACCCAATTTTCTTCAGACTCTCAACCTCCGGTCCCAAGTCCACCGAGGAGTCGCCCATTCCTGAATGAACAAACTCTGTCCATAAGCAATAATGTAAATATCTCCTTATATAATCTTTGCTCTCGATAACAATATCTATATTTTTACAACTCCCTGTGTAAAGGAAATTTCGGCAGGGTAATAAAATCTCTTTCTTTAAAGGCACTTAAAAAAGAAAATACTTTTTTATGTTGATCGATGTATTGAAGACTCGTGGTATAAAATGTAAAGTAATATCGAGTAAAAACTATGCAGGATCCAGAAAGTTTCCACTGTGTAATGGGGCCGATTTTAGTAATGGCTCAATTATTTGGAATTCTACCGGTTTCTGGAATACTCATGCCGAGTCCGTTGCAGATAAAATTCGTGAAATTTTCAATTCGTACTATCTACTCCGCTTTCATAAGCGGGATGGTATTATTTATGGCAATATTGTCGATTATTCACATGATAAAAATTATAAACTCCACAACTTTTGAAGTGCAAGGTAAACAAATAAATATATATAAATATATAACTCTATATCACACCTATTCCAAAAATAATATACAGTTTTATTACATAGTAAAGTAAAGATAACAATATGCAGGAAGTTCAATTCCTCTAAAGTTAGAATTCTGAGACATTTTAAATATACAGATGAAAATTAAAAGGCTTAAAAAATTATCTGTCACTTTTGCACTTTATCCCAGAGTAAATGTGTTTTAAATAAACTTTGCAATCTGGAAGTAAATGCAAATCATAAGGATCATTTATTTTTATACGATATTGCGCAGAACAAAAATATCCTTAATAACTACATTAAGGATGTTTTTGTTGTACAATATCAATCAATATCGATTACAAAATTTTCATAAATATGCTCTAAAAGAACTGTAAAAAATAAAACAACAAAGTTTAACTTTTATAGCTTTTATGCAGAGCAATTACTATATTTTGTTGCAATTTTAGATAAATATATAGCTTTTAAGCCAGTATAAGTGAATCCCAATGAACTTATGCATAAACGTTTATTACAGTTTTATTAGTACATATAAAAAATTTGTTTGATCATCAAATTTGCAAATAAGTATTACAAACGATTTTATAGAAGAATTAAGACAAACAAAAATTAAACTTTTAAAACAATAAGAGAATTGTGCTTAAATTTCACACAGTTACTTAAACGACTATTAACAATCTATGAAATTTTGTATTTTTAATAATGCTTTGAACTATAATATATACGTTCTTAATCGTATGTTCTCTGAATCATTTTTCGAAATTGTCAGACATATTGTTAAATATACAATTGGATTTTAGGAGGCATGGTAGCTGCTACGTCAGGCACGATATTTTATGCGAACTGTGTGATGGGCCTGATCATATTTTTCTGGCTGTCGTCACGATGGGTAACTCTCCAACGTGATTGGAGATCCATGGAGCTGTTCATAGACAGGTAGATATCAACGTATTTAAAAAAGACTGCAGGATAGTATCGCTAACCGATCAATGATCGCAGTCCACGTGTTTCACTGCATGCGGGATTACATAGAATCGCATGTACTCTTGACAACTCTCAAGAGATTGCGATCGCACATGTGCTTTCATACGATGACAGCAGATGTTACAAGAATAGCAAGCATCATATTCAAATCTGTTAGATGTCGTAATGATAAATTTAATTTGCGAATCGGAAAATAATTCCAATATTATTATAATTGCATGTGCTCTCTCTCTCTCTCTCTCTCTCTCTCTCTCTCTCTCTCTAAAAATATATATAAAATTAAAAATATATTATAATAAATACACGTACGTAAAACTATTAGAATGAATTCAGTCATTTTAAAGAATGAATTCTCACTTTGAAAGATTGAAAATTGAACCATTCTTTTTCAAGACTGGCTTAATTGTCAAATTGTGAGATTTTACTCTAAAGAATTTAGAGAGTATATATATTTAACTATATAATTTGATGTGACCAACTTTAAACTCATCTAATACTTCCAGATACGCAAATATGATAAAGTAATCGCGTGTTTGTAGCACTCATTATCAAAAGATATCATTGCTTGTAATCTGCCTCAAATGGCGTAAATGTTTAAAGACTTCGCCGGAGTTATCATCTTTTTAAATTAATTATTTCCTTTTGAAAATTCCAATGAGCAATGTTTCTCTTTCTCTCAATTAATTTTACATTATCTTATAAGTTCTGTTTTATATATACATTTATTAGAATTTTTCGCTTTTGCAGTAACAAGATGGAACGACCAAAACTCCGTTGGAAACTCTACTTGATAGCTATTTCCATTCTGTTTGTGGCTCTTATTGAACATATCTTGAGTATATTAGTGCATGTCAAAAAATATGACTGGAGCGGCAAATCGGACAATGCGACGTTTCCCAATTTTTTGGAAATTTATTGTACGTCTTCTCACGCGTTTATATTGGAGAATCGTAAGTAGCAATCTCAACTATAATTAATTTAAAAGTATCGCTCGCAGATAAATTAAATGCTTGAATAAAATTTCATAATAATCTAGTTGAATAAATTAATTGATCGCATAAAAAGTATTAAAATGTTTTATTATAATAAAGTAACTATAATTGTTTTATTACAATATAAAATAGCTATATTTAGCTTAATAATTAAAACTCTTTTACACATAGATTTGCAATTTTATTTAATTATTTTTTTTAGCATTATTAACAGCAATCCAGTTTATTTGGCTATATCTGTAAAGTAATTAAACTTACAACCTTTTCTTCAAAGACTTGTTTATTTGATCGTTGTTCTTTTCTCCTAGATTTATTGAAAAACTTTGGTTACTTCAAAACTTTAGAATTTTTATTTTCAGTGAAATATAACTTGGCGCTTGGTATTTTCATTTTTATCGTCAGCAAATTGGCGACTTTTACGTGGAATTTTACTGACGTTTTTATAGCAATGGTAATAAAACTTTGCAAATAGTTCAACAACATCTCTTTCTCTGTTCAGAATCAAATTTCCAATCTTATCGTTTCTCTCTTATTGTAACTAATTCGATCTTGTGATCGGAGTTTTCAGGTAGCTACCGGTTTGGCTGAAAGATACAAAACATTGAATAAATACGTGATTAATTCTATATCGAAACATCGACCAATAGACTGGTCTGGATTGCGCGAAGATTATGCTACTCTTAGTTTCATGGTAAAAAAAGTGGACGACGATATCTCACCTGTAATTCTCTTGTCATTTGTAAACAATCTTTACTTCATTTGTTTACAGTTACTCAATGGATTATCGTACGTGATTATTAAAAAAAACACAAAATTTATTATATTAATTTTTAATTTATTTTAGTTATTTATAGAATTATGAATATAATTTATAGAAATATGAATAAGTTATTATTCATAAATATGAATATGATAAAGTTAATACACACATATTAATATCATTAGTAAATATTAATTCATAAAGTTATTATTATTATATTATTTCTGATTTCTATTCTCTTTATTGGATTTTTACAGAAAATCGGATGAAGGCATAATTGGTGATATATATTTCTTCGAATCCTTCTTATTTTTGATCAGTAGAACGATGATCGTCACCCTGCTCACTGCTAGGATTCATGATCAAAGTAAAGTAATATTGCCGATTTTATTTACTTGTTCAACATCTACTTATGACAAAGAGGTAAATCATTCGAATTTCATTGAGGTAAAAAAAAGTAAATAAAACAGTAATGTTTTGAAATTATCAATGTATTGCGCAAATTATTTAATTAATTTGCTCAATTTTATATATATATATA